AGGTGACCTGCTTTATGCCAGTCAGAACATCAGATTACGGATGAGTATGAAGGGAACTCCGAATGAACCGCACTTTTCTGTTGAGCTGCTGGAAGGAAGCGCAGCTCTCCGAAATGTGATCGATAAACACATCCATGATCAAACTCTTGTAAGTATAAAAAAAGAGAATTCTGCTTTATTGTTTCATTTATTGTGCCTTTTCTTGTTATACCAAAGCGTGATGTGTGTTGTTTTTTTCTTTAGGCACCGAAGAGTGCATTTTTCGTTGCTGACTTAGGGGAGATTGTGTGGCAGCAAGTTCGCTGGAGAACTAAATTGGACCAGATTCGGCCTTTCTACACAGTCAAGAGCAATAGCAGCCCTGTGGTCGTTGAAATCCTGGCTGCTCTCGGAACTGGCTTTGTTTGTTCAAACAAAGTAAATATAAAGTATAAAATGTCTCATCTCCTCTCTCGCTAAAACTATACTATTCATTGTCCTAAAATAACAGTCTGCTTCAATATTTGTGTCTCTCTTAAAGCTATTTTTGAAATGTATTATTACTTTTGTTTGCTGCTTTATGTGTGTCATCAGTTTTGGCTGCTGTGCTTGTCTTTCAGCATGAGCTGGACTTAGTGAAGGACTTTGGCGTCCCGTCTCAGGACATCATTCTCGGCGGCACGTGTAAACAGCTGTCTCATATCAAATACGCAGCCAAACACAACATCCCCCTCCTTGTTTGCGATAATGAGGCGGAGCTGAGGAAGATTGCGCGATGCCATCCCAAAGCAAAGTGAGTCATGTCATCACACTTGCAGTGACTAGGCTTATCACAATGCAAACATATGCAGTAAAAAAAAAAAAGTAAAATATCACAGTTCTTAGTAGGGGTGGGAATCTTTAGAAACCTCACAATCTTTCAGATTCTGGGAATCAAGATCCAATTATATATATATATCACAAGCAAAAAGTGCTTTTACTATCTAAGCGTTTTCCAGACAAGGGCAGTGAGGGATTTTTCATAGACAGTGGCAGCTCTAATAGGCTGCATTCA